GAAGTTCAAGACCAGTCCGGGCAACACAGCAAGACCTCATCTCTACAATAATAGTAATAATAATAATAAATAAAATTTTTTAATGTGAAAGGTATTTTAAAATCAACTGGCATTTCTGTCCACAGCCATTAAAAACTTGTTTCCTCTCCAGTAACAGATAATTTCCATTTTACATCAAATTTTCAAGAAATTAGAAAAAGATAGATAGAAATATTTTTGACTCTTTTCATGAGACCACTATATTATCTTAACATCAATATTATAGGGGAAAGAAAAAAGTTCAATTGAGTTATGAACATAACTTCAAAAATCATAAATTTATGAAGCATAAACAGACCATATCTAGAAATGTATAAAAAGTACTACGATATTCAACAAAGGTTTAATCTCAGAAATGCAAACATTTAATGTTATGTTAGAAAATATTGGTATATACCTTCCCACTTCAATAATAACACAAGCTGATATTCACACAGCACTTCCCCTGTGCCAGGCAGCTCTCTAAGTGCTTTGAGGGCACTTAGATGAACCCATCCACACCCTTAACTGCTGCACTGGGCTGCCTCTTGTTCTAAGAGATGAAATGAGTACAGCTCACCTCAGTCGACGCAGGAAAGCCTTTAATTAAATGTGACCTCCTTGAGTGATAAATAGAAAAGATTCTTGGGCCGAGGTAGGCAGATCACTTGAAGTCACGAGTTCAAGACCAGCCTGGCCAACGTGGTGAAACCCTGTCTCTACTAGAAATACAAAAAGAAAATTAGCCAGGCGTCGTGGTATATGCCTGTAATCCTAGCTACTCAGGAGACTGAGGCACGAGAATGGCTTGAACCCGGGAGGCGGAGGTTGTGGTGAGCTGAGATCAGCCTGGGTGACAGAGCAAGACTCTGTCAAAAGAAGGAAGGAAGGAAGGAAGGAAGGAAGGAAGGAAGGAAGGGAAGGAGAGAGAGAGAAAGAAAGCAAGAAAGAAAGAAAAAAAAGAAAGAGAAAGAAAGAGAAAGAAAGGGGAAGGGAAGAAAAAGAAAAGAGAAAAGATACATGGTCGGCTTAATTTAGAAGGAACTTCCTTTACTTCACAGTGAGTGAATATCCAAGTTCATGTGAAATGTTACAAATTTTTTAATTGAATAAAACAAAAGATATTAACACAAATCATTTTCGGTCAAAATAGTACTAGAAGAACCAGCCAGTACAACACCACAAGTAAAATCAACAAGTGTAAAAGATTAGGAAGGAATTTAAAGGCATCTTAGTTCTCTGCCCAGAGAGTTCAAAAAAATCAATGGAAAAATAATAAAAACTCGAACGTGATGATTATTCATTTATTTATTAACCTGCCTCTTGCTGTGTCTCTCCACTAGGGTGTTGGCACCATGAATTTTCTTCTGTTTCCTTCATAGTGTTTCTCTACCACATTTAATCGTCCCTACCGCATGGTAGCACTCAATGAGTATCTGCTGAATCAATAAATTCATTCACATTGAATGAAGAAACTTCCTGTGTTAGGATCCCTCAAACAAGAGTGCAGGGTATAGATCAATAAACAAAAATCAACGGCCTCTCTATACATAAGCCAGGACAAAGAGAAAACGTATTTTTTTTTAATGTATCATTTACCACAGAAAATATCCACATTACTTAAATATATATCCAACTAAAAGATCATAGAAGTTGGCAAAAATATTAGAAAATAAACCTAAATAAATGCTTCATTGTTTGAAAGAATCAATATAGAAAATACTGCACTTATTCCCCCAAGTCAATGTGTAAGTAAAACCGTAATTAAAATAAACAGTAAGCGTTTTTGCAAATTTTGTGAAGCAGATGCTAGGGGTAACGGGTGCATAGAGTATGATGAAGGCACACAGCAGACAGTCGGGTCTATTAATAAGTTAATCCAATTGACAGGCAATGATGAACAAAGGAGGGGAGGGGAGAGTAAGGGTGTGGAGGGCAGCAAAAATGCAAAATACGATTTAAAGCAAATATCCAGAATACCAGCATGGGTTTATTTTATTTTGTTCCAGACAACTGGAACAAAAGACAGAACACTCAAAGTCACCTACATGGAGATGGAAACTTGTCCCTAGCAGAAGTAGCTTTGCTGTCCCAGTGAGGGGAAGGTGGGTGACTACATTTGTATGTGTAAACCAACGCGGTTACTATGGAAGGTACTCTTCTCATGCGCACACACTGGGAATAAACAATGTCAAGATGCTGCTGTGTTTGTTTTATGCTTCCATTTCACACCATACACAAATATAGACTTCTGGTAGATTAAAGCTGTAAACAGGTAAGGAAACATAATTACAATTTTAGAAAATATCTAGGAGAATATTTGCACGCCACTGCAGTAAGGAATAGTTTCTTCGACAAGGCACAGTAAGCACTAACCACAAAGAAAATATTGGATGGATTTGCATACAACAAAATTTAAAACTGAGTGGCAAAAGACAACAACATTGACACAGGGAAAATACAAACTCCAGACTGGAAGAAGGTATTTGCAATGCCTAAAACCACCCTTGAGGATAAAAAAAGAACTATTTATAAAGGCTGGGGGAGGGGGAAGGCCCAGGAGCAAGGCTTCAGCCGTAATTAGAACATTCTAAAAAAGTTAAATGGGGTTGCTGCAGAAGACATTATTTCCTTCCTTTTTATGGCTGAATAGTATTCCGTGGTGTTTCTACACCACATTTTCTTATCCACTCGCTGGTTGATGGGCACTCAGGTTGGTTCCCTCTCTTTGCAATAGTCAATTGTGCTTACATGGGCTTATTCTTGGTGGGTGCCTATAGGCCTTATTCAAATGTTTTCTGAATTTTATGTATGTTTAAATATTTCATAATTAATATCTTTAAAGATCGGCATTTAATAACGTGCATACACACTGACCTAGCAACTCCATGTCCCATTTCCTGCCCTAGGACACAAGAGCATTTATGGTTCTGCTAAAATGTCACCGTGAGAGCTGTCTCTCACCACGAAGGCTAGAACACCCCAGCCACTCCTTCCACGGCCAGGGTTTTCTCCACCTCTCTTATCGCTGCTGGAGATGGCAGCATTGGTATATTTATTTGTTGGTTTATTATGAGTTCCCCCTCCACAATCAAATACAAGCCTCCCAAGTAGCAGGGCCAGGTGGGTAGTGACTGTAGGTTGAGGGATGGCTGAAGGGTGGGCAGCCACAGCTTAACGAATGCCTACTCACCCAGGAAAGAAGGCAGCAGGTCCACGTGCAACCACACCCTGGGATCTTCAAGACAGGTGTGGACTGAAGCGAGTCATGACCAACACGTAACAGGGATGTAAACAGGGCTATGTGTTTCTGTGGATGCACAGAAAACGGCCGGGAAAAAGGAGGCTGCACCCCCAGCTGCTTTTAATCAGAAGGAACGGGGACTGTAAAACAGGAAAATTCAGCTTCATTGTCGTCTGAACCTTTTTTTTTTTTTTTTTTTTTTTTGATGCGGAGGCCCCAGGCTGGAGTGCAGTGGTGCGATCTCGGCTCATCACTGCAACCTCCGCCTCCCGGGTTCACGCGATTCTCCTGCCTCAGCCTCCCGCCGGGACCGGTATAGACACAAATATGCTAACATTGTGTCTGAAAACACTTCCTTGGATATAAGCTCTCACTGTTTCTCTCCTGATTATAAACCATGTCACAGCCCCCCAGCAGTTCTGAAGGCCCTGAGCCCAGGCGGGAACTCAGACTGAATCGCGACGTCATTCAGGCACTAAAAACATGCCCGGGCCCAGAGCGCTGCCCGCCTGAGGCTTCCGGTCTGCGAAACAATTTTATTTAAATTCTATGCAAAATAGCACCCTCTGCCCTTCTTCCCAGCGTCCTGCTTGCTGGGAGGCTCACTGGAGGCGCAGCAGGGAGCAGCCTGGCTTTTCCTACGGGCTCATCGAAAGCCTCGCTGGGAGAATTTCCCAAGATATTTTGCTGTTTGCTCAAACACACATTTTATATTTTAAATGCAGGCATTTGAGAGGGAAATCTGTAGCGTGTGAAGCATGGGTCTGTGGCTTTCAGCGGAGCACCCTGAAGGCCCTTCCCAAGATGGCCGGGGCTTCCGCCTGCTGCCCTCCTTCCCGTGGTGCTGAGCGCGGGCGGGGCGCGGCAGCGTCTCTCTGAGGGCGTGGGTTTGGGGGTCCCGCAGGCTGGGGTCCCGGGTGAGGGATGCGAGCAGCAGCTCTAGAGGGGAACTGGGGGAGCGTGGCTCGGTGAGGGCGTGCTCGGAACACCCTCATCCCCGAACTTGTGTGATACAGCGTCGCACAAGAAGAATTCAAAACCGCGAGAAGAGGAGGACGCGGCCAGGCTGCACCCAGCCCCGGCGCCGCTGTTGGGAGGGAGAGGCAGGCCGGGCTGAGCGGGGCCGCGGGGACGCGCGCTCCCGGGCTTCTCCGGAGTCGGCCGGGGCCAGGCCCAGGACTGAGGCCGGACCGCGCGTCCCACCCCTCACACCCCTGGAAACACCCTCAGGGTTAGTAACACAAGCTCTGGGCCCCCCCGAGCCGGGGTTGAGTTTCTTTTTTCTTTTTTTTTGAGACGGAGTCTCGCTGTGTCGCCCAGGCTGGAGTGCAGTGGCCGGATCTCAGCTCACTGCAAGCTCCGCCCCCCGGGTTCACACCATTCTCCTGCCTCAGCCTCCCGAGTAGCCGGGACTACAGGCGCCGCCACCATGCCCGGCTAATTTTTTGTATTTTTAGTAGAGACGGGGTTTCACTGTGGTCTCGATCTCCTGACCTTGTGATCCGCCCGCCTCGGCCTCCCAAAGTGCTGGGATTACAGGCGTGAGCCACCGCGCCCGGCATGGGTTGAGTTTCATGAAAAGCAGCTGGTTGCATCCTGGAGCCAGGAAAAGAGGCGCACAGGGGCCGGCGGGCCAGGGCCACGGAGGAGCAAGACCCCTGGGGAGAGGCCCGGGTCTAGGCCGGGGCCAGGGGAGCGTGGTGGAGACCTCAAAAATGGCAGCACACGGAAACAGGCGGAACAATTAAACGTAGCACTTGTGGTAGTTTAAACCACACAGGGGCAAACGCTGTGACTCTGCCCAGATTCAGAGTGGGGATCTGTGGCTCTCCCCGCAGGCTGCAGGGACCGGGCTCTGGGGAACCAACGGAAGGTAACAGAACGAGGCTGCTTTTCCTCCAGGCTGTTCGGTGCCGACACTTGTTCGCTGACTCCTGACTTAGAGTCCCGCGTGGCCAGAGAACTCTGGGTGCTTCGGGGCCACCATGGTGAGAGGAGAGGCCGCCCCACCAACGGAAGAAGCGATGGAGACGGTCTTTACGACCTAAGAACAGAAAGAGTTTCTTATACGCAATCTGAAAAGTAAATATTTATTTATTTATTTATTTATCCATCCAGATAGAATCCCGCTCTGTCGCCCAGGCTGGAGTGCAATGGCACGATCTCGGCTCGTTGCAACCTCCGCCTCCCGGGTTCAAGCGATTCTCCTGCCTCAGTCTCCTGAGTAGCTGGGATTATAGGCGCCCGCCACCACCACCAGCTAATTTTGTATTTTTAATAGAGACGGGGTTTCACCATGTTGACCAGGCTGGTCTTGAACCCCTGACCTCAGGTGATCCACCTGCCTCGGTCTCCCAAAGTGCTGGGATTACGGGGGTGAGCCACCGTGCCGGGCCAAAAATCATTTTTTAAATGACCACATGAAAAGTAAATGTCCTGTATCACAGAGCATTTTCTGAGGAAAATGAAAGCCACAGACCCAGAAGACATTTGTGACACATATGAAAAACAAAAACTCATTTTCGAAACATACACAGCATTGCTATGAATCATTTAAAAAAATGATTTCATCTCCTCTACAGAAGCCTGAGTGAAGGACAAGGACAGATCATTATAAACCAGGGAGCTTGAAGAGCTAGTTAACAAGCACAGAAAATATGTTCCCCCACACTGTTAATCAAGAAAATTAAAACTGTAATGAGATGCCACATCGTATCCATGGGATTACTAAAAGTAGAAAGTTCCACAATACCCCTTGTTGACGGAGCAGGGGAGCAGCAGAAGCCTGCAGGAGATGAGACTGTAAACGTGCAAGGACATACTGGAGAAGAGTTGACAGTATCTCACTCAGGTGTATCAAGCCAAGTGCTGAAAGAAGAATTGGTTGTCATAAAGAAAACAGAAACCCAGCCTGGATGTAGCTTATCCCTCCAAGGGAAAGTTACAAAGAAGTTAAAATGAATGGGCTCCATCTCTGTGTAACAATTTGGATCAATATCAAAGACACATTTGTTAAAGCAAGGTGTACAATGAAACGTGCAACATGAAACCATTTGTCTGTTTATTAAAACACAGAAAACCTAACTCCACCTGGCTTATGACCACACACGTGTTAGAATTTGAAAAAAAGGAAAGAGGCCGGGCGCGGTGGCTCACGCCTGTAATCCCAGCACTTTGGGAGGCCGAGGCGGGCGGATCACAAGGTCAGGAGATCGAGACCACGGTGAAACCCCGTCTCTACTAAAAATACAAAAAATTAGCCGGGCGCGGTGGCGGGCGCCTGTAGTCCCAGCTACTCAGGAGGCTGAGGCAGGAGAATGGCGTAAACCCAGGAGGCGGAGCTTGCAGTGAGCCAAGATCGCGCCACTGCACTCCAGCCTGGGCGACAGAGCGAGACTCCGTCTCAAAAAAAAAAAAAAAAAAAAAAAAAAGAAAAAAAGGAAAGGGAAGGAGGCTGGCTACACGTGCACTTTTGGAAAATTTCAGCCTCTGAAGGTCTGGGGCACCAGGCAGAGACCACGGCAGCCTTCAGGGATATGAGGCCAGTCCTTCAACTACATTTGCAAGGTTTTGTTTCTTAGGAAAATATTTAAAGCAAATATTTCAAAAATGACTAACTCTGAGTGGTAGGGAGTCGCCGTTTTATAGATGATTCACTTTTTCCTGGGCTTGGAATGTTTCATTTTTTAAAAGGCAAATGAGATGCTGCCTTTCCAACAGATAAAGGCTTAGCTGGTATCCCTGTCACTGCCCAGCAGTGCCTGAGGATGCGGGGGCAGCTGCCCAGCACGGAGGCCGGGCGGGTCTGGTCCGCGAGCTCGGGTTCTCATCCTCTGCACATGCATCTGCTCCTGTGCGTCTCTGTGCACACGCTTGTATCTGGATACAGAGTCCTGCGCCCCGTGTAGATGCACAGATGTGTGCATCTGGGTAGATGGGCTGGTTCACTGTGTGAGCATGCACAGACACTTGTTCACAGTGTGTGTGCATCCCTGCAGTGTGTACATCTGGACAGGACCCTGTGCTCCCTGTCTCTGTCGCTGAGATGTTTCCTAGCTGTGCACAGAATTCACTCTCCTACTGGAGGGCTCTGACTGAAAGCCCTGATGGGGCAGGCCTTCTCTTGACGCTTGGTTAACGTATACCTGTTCCATCTGTGTGCCCACATCTGCTCTCCTCCCTCCCTCCTTCATAGCACTTACCCCTCTGATACGGTTTGCTGGTGTCCCCACCCAAATCTCATCTTGAATTGTAGTTCCCATAATCCCTACGTATTGTTCGAGGGATCCCATGGGAGGTAATTGAATCATGGGGGTGGTTGCCCAGATGCTGTGGTTCTCGTGATAGTGAGTTCTCTTGAGATCTGATGGTTTTATAAGGGGCTTTTCCTCCTTTTTCTAGGCACTTCTCCTTGCTGCTGCCACATGAAGAAGGATGTGTTTGCTTCCCCTTCTGCCATGATTTTAAGTTTCCTGAGACCTTCCAGCCATGCTGAACTGTGAGTCAATCAAACCTTTTTCCTCTATAAATTACCCAGTCTCTGGTACGTCTTTATTAGCAGTGTGAGAATGGACTAATACGTTCTCCTAATGTAGTATATATGTGTTGGCTCATTTGTCACTGCCTGTCCATCTCCAGTCTCTAGAATACGAGATCTGTAAGAATAGGGACACTGTCTATATCAGCTGTTCATGGCTCAGTCCCAGTGCCTGGAACAGCATGAGGCATCTGGCATGTGCTTGACAAACATTTGCAGGGAATATATGTGCATGAACATGCATGTGCGGAAACAGGTGCATAGGAACATGGATTGTGGACGTGCCTGTATGTGCGTGCATATGTATACCACTATGTGTACATAGCTTATTGTGTATTTGCAGTGAGGTTTTCAAACCTCTGTCTTGTTTCCAGGATTTCCTGAAGACACTATCACAGTCAAGTGGTCTGCCTGGTACTGAGCCATCAGACCACCCAGCATGTCCTCACCCACATGGACAGGTGACAGGGGGCTCTGAGTATGCCTCAGTGCACCTTACGCGCCTGTGAAGGTTGGGAGCCTGAGTGCAGCTCCTGTGGCACTGCCCACGGGCAGGGAGATGCCTCCTCAGTGCTCCTGACCCTCAGTGGAGGAGTGGCCAGCGTGTCTGCTGGCAGTGCGTCCACACAGATGTCCTGCACCCAAAGGGCAAGTGGGAAACAAAGGAAAATGTCTGTCTGAAGGAAAAGGCAAAGCAATTTGGATTTCTGCGAGAAAATGAGACTGCATGTGGCACTGTAAATCCCCTTGCTGTTGAACTTCTCGCGCCCCCCAAATACACCCTTCATATTGACATGTCTGGAACCTTAAACTGAACCAAGTTGAAAAGTGAGATTAATTAGGGCTGAGTTAACAGTTAACACATACAATGAAATATTGAATGAGGCTTACTGAGCAAACAAGAATATACAGAAGTGGAGGAGACAAAGAGGATATTAAAAATGCAGAGAGTGATGAGGCAGATAGCTGCGACAAATAATGAAAAACAGTAAAGGAGATAAGGCAGATACTGGAGGAGCAAAGAGTCTCTGAAATAGATGTCGGTATCGAAAGATGCTAAACACGCTTCTAAAGAGGCTTTCTAGCCGACACAGGGAGCTCACTGATGGATGAAGTAGAAACATTTTTAAATGGAATCAAACAGGGCAAAGCGGGAGAAGAAAAAGAAGCAGGTAAACCAGTAAATTAACTTTCCTTGCGTGTGCCGTATACTATTTGTGAGCGAGCAGTGAATGCTGTGGATCCCTGGAGGGGCTGGGGGCTGCGGTGGGAGGGTTTCGCTGCAATGAAGCAGAGGTGGTGCCTTTGGACCTCTTCTCCTGAACCTTCAGGGAGAGACGCAGAATATTCAAAATGTGAAGATGCAACGATTCAAATGAGTGTGCAGGTTTTCAGGGTGGTTGCTAAACCCAAAAAGACCGACAGCTTCGGGCGAAAGACTGCAGAAAGACCAGCTTTAAATTTTTACTGAAGCAATGGGAAATTTACCTCGTAAGCCTTGAAAACTTCCCAAAGGGGTTCCTGTTCGTTCCTGTGGATCCTAATGGGCCAGCGTAGACCTGTTAGTCAAAAGAGGATTTACCTACATTGCACACTCGTTCGGACTGGCAGGGAAGTCAATGCCACTTCCAGATGTTTGCAGGGCATGAACCCTGTCCGTTCCCACGCCCTCCAATGGCTGTTACACAGGGATGCCCACTTCTGGACAGAAGTGATTCATGCAAAATGAGAACCATGACCACAGAAGGTTTTGTGCATTTGGTTATTTCAATATTTAAGTGTATGCATGAATGCTCAGGGTAAAAACGCTTGGAGTTTAACTCAATTAAAAATGTATACATTATTCATCTTCTATGGACTGTCCACCATGTAACCCAGAGAGCTGAGGGGGTAGAAATACATTCATTCATTCACTGTCTCCTTAAATATTTACTGAGCACTTGTTGCACGTCGAATAACTCCTTGTTGTAGGTTCCTCATGGTGGCTCTGCAGGAAGGATGCAGAGTGTCCTGAGGGGCTACTGGGAAAGTCCACTTGGGGTTGAGGGATCTGGGAGAGCTCCCTGGAGGAGGAGGTGTTGGACTACAGCGATGGGAACATGGAGGAGCTGGAGCGAGACGTGGGTGCCAGTCAGCACAAGAAAGACCCGCACAGAGAAAGTCAGGCTGGGGTGAGAGGGAGCCCCCCGAGCTGTGAGCTCAGCCTGAGACCATGGGAAGCCACCGAGGAGCTGGGGAGCCAGGCTGAGTCTGACCCCACTGATGCAGATTCCTCTGTGGGCTTGGGGAAGGCCAGAGACAGAGCCGCAGGTGGGGGCTTTGGTGAAGGGAGCGAGAGTGTGAGCCAGTGCCATGTAGAGAGAACAGATGCAGGGATGCCAGCCAGGGTGCCCTTGGCCAAGAAAGAAAGGTCCAGCAGGCGCAGTATCAGAGCAGGGTCCCAGAGGAAGGCAACAGGGACAGTTCTGGTTTCTTACCTCGGCCACTAGGAAGATGGTGATGCTCTGAGAGTGATGAGGCCACAGGGTGGGAGGGAGGAGGAGGAGCCTCCCCCTGCAAGCTCTGTTAGGGGGGCACACATCAGTGGCTCCCCACCACCCTCTGGACGAAGCCCAGAGCACAGAGCACTTGAGGCTACTGGGTGTCCCTGGTCCCCGCTCCACCAAACAGCTCTCCTGTCGCCGGCCTAATCTCCATGGCCGGGCATTCTGAATCCACACATCCAGCTCCCAAGTGGTTCACAGGCTCCCAGCCCAGGCCACGTGCGTGTGCTGTCTCCCTGTGGGAGAGGCTCCTGTCCTAGACCATGCACCTGCTCCCAGCTCGGCCCTCACCTTAAAGGCCCCTTCCAGGGTCAGGGTCCCAACTGGGAACCCCCATTCTGGGCTCTGCAAATGCCTCCCAGCACTTACTCCCCACAATGCTCTGTCCGAGGGTCTTGGCCTCTGGCTTGTGAGCTCACAGAGGGCCGCGCCCTTGCACTCACCTTCCCGTTCACCTGCAGGGCCAGGCCTTGTGCCGGCATAGAGGTGAATGGGCACACGCTTCCCATCTGCTGGGGAGATTCTCGCTCTGCTGGCTCTGCCTCACCCCTGGGGGCTCTGCCAGCTCCTCAGAACCCTGAGTCTGGGGCATGACGTGGCCTCAGGTCTGGGCCAGATGACGTAGTGCAGGCTCTAGGCCCCGGGACAGACGTGGCACTTCCTGCATCAACTCTGTTGCTGTCCTCACCAGGGCTTCCCTCCCCAAGCCTCAGGGGCTGCGGGGTACCCACCCGCTCCACAGAACACGTGCGCGGGCCTCCAGGAGATGGTTAATAGAACGGATAGGTTTTAGGGAAGTTTGTTTTTATAGCTCTTACATTTATTTATATTTATCAAATATGTACCCATCACTAAAATCTCTTCCGAGCATTTTCAAAAATTAAAGAGTTGCATCTAAAAATACTGACCTTGATGTTCAGCATGTGTGGGTAACTCCCCAGGCCCAGAGACATCAAGAGCAGATGTGACAGCAGCCATGGCTGCTCAGGGGGCCGGGGATGCGGGAAAGGGGTGGCTCTCAAATAGTCTTGACAAGCAGCTGAATATGGTTGTGTCAGATTTGGAAAGTGCAGCCTGAGAATTTGAAATCCGTTCATTCCCCACCCCCCAACCATTTTTTCATGTATTCATTCATTCAGCACACCCTGAATGAGCACTCTTTTATTTGATACCTATCCAGGGGCACTGCACAGGCTCATGACCGTCATACGCCCAGTCTGGCCCCATGGTGTGCCTGAGCAGAGGACTGTTAGCAGGTGGGTCCTTCCATCCTCCATGATAAACGCTGAGAAAAGAAAGATCAAGGGCTTCAGAGCCCGTGGGAGGGATACAGACGGGGGCTGGGCAGCTGCTAAGAAAACTGCCTGGGCCACAGGGTGGCCGTGACCATGAGGAGGGGGGAAGGACCCAGAGGAGCGGGGGAATCCTTGCTGTGGAAGGCACCACATGAGCTGCGTGAAGTCAGAGTCAAAAGCAAACCCGTCTCCTCCTGACAGCGGGACCCAGGAGGCAGGACAACCTGCCAGAGAGGCTGAAGGAGGTTCTCTCGCGCTGGATTCTCGACAAGAAAAAGGAAGAGGGTCTCCCCTGCTTCCCTCGCCCACAACAGCTGATCTTCCAGAGGTCGGCCGTTTCGTTCCTTGTCTTCAGAATCTGGTGGAGTTGGAGGCAGACACCTGAGGTCAGGAAGGGAAGGTGAGACCCGACCCAGGAAAGCTGAGTCCTCCTGAACCCTCAGGGCTGGGGTGAGGGGCCAGTGCCCGACCCAGACACCAACACAGCCCTGCAGTGAGAGGCGATCTCAGCAGATGGACGGGCACTGCCCGGATGATGAACTGGTCAGCACTGCAGTGGCCCTCTTGGCCTAATTTGCCCACCTGAAGAGCTGCCAGGTCTCCAGTGACCCTAGTATCATGGCCAGGAGAGGAGCAGGGTGACCTGAGGGTGCAGAGAAGGTTCTGCTGTGATCAAGTCCCCCTGCCAGGTCAGAGGCTCAGAGGTTTGGGAGGGGAGGGATTTCCTGTTAAAGCAGCAGGATCCCTGTGGGCCCAGAGGGAAACACAGACATGGCGGGCGTCCCATGGAGTGGGAGTGAACAGGAGCAGGAAGGAGGTGGGTGCAGCCCCCACACGGGCCTCAGGTCACACTGGACGTTTCCTCAGCAAGTGTCACCTGGGTGGTGACGAATGGGGGAGGAGAACAAGTGGAGTGCAGAGAGTAGCAGTGTGAAGCTGCACCGCCTGGTCCCCACTCGAGGTAAACAGGGTTTGCTCTGCTGGAGGAGCCCACCCTGGCTGCAGACACGGGGCAACCATGTGAGAAAGGTCGGACCCAGGCCCACTCGCCTTCCACATGCGTCTTAGGGATGGGGATGCCTGCGCCAGCAGCAGCCTTGCTGCCCCTTCGTCCCCCAAAGCCAACAGGCAGTGCCAAGGACCTGAAGGGGGAGGCGGGCTTGACTCTGAGGCAGGGCACGGACACCAGACCATGTGGAGGAGCAGCTGAAACAGGGCCGGTGGCAGCAGCCACCTGTGAGATGTGCCAACCAGTGAGCCTTGTTTAGTTTACCATTGCCATGGCAAGACCCAGAAGTTACTGCCACTTTCCATGGTAAAAACCCAATGACCCTGAGGTTTCTGCCCCTTTTCTAGAAACTTCTGCATAAACCAACCCTTAGTTAGCATGTAGTTAAAAGTGTATATAAATATGATTCGGGGCTGCCTGTGAGCTGCTGTGCTGGGTGCACTGCCCACGGGGAGTCCTGCTCTTCTGGGACCAGCCCCCTTGGCTACCGCAGCAATAAAAGCTGCTACAGCACCCGCTCACCTTGGAATTCTTTCAGGGGCAAAACCAGTAACAGACCTGGGCTAAGCCCCCATTTTGGGGTCTGCCTGCCCCACATCAGACCTGCCCAGGGTTGCCTCACCACTCCTAAAGGAAGATAAGACGCGGGTGGGGGCAGCCACCAGGCCAACTGTTCAGATTGCCCGATGCCAGCTCCTTTGCATCCTGGAACCCGGAGACGCAGGGCAAGCCCCAGCACCTGGGTGCTCAATGGGGGAGGCCCCTGAGAGGTGGCCACAGACAGGTCTGGTGGCCGCCGGGAACCTGGGGGAGGCCCCTGAGAGGTGGCCACAGGCAGGTCTGGTGGCCGCCGGGAACCTGGGGGAGGCCCCTGAGAGGTGGCCACAGGCAGGTCTGGTGGCCGCCGGGAACCTGGGGGAGGCCCCTGAGAGGTGGCCACAGGCAGACGCTTGGGTTTAGGCACCTTACCCCATTGCCTGGTCAGGCCCCAGCCCCTGCTCACCTGGAAAGCAACAGGAAGGGACGTCAGGCTTCAAGTGTGGAAACCATGTGTGCGGGGACCTGGAGTGGGAAGCAGCTCCCAGGCCTGGCCTGAGGCCCCTGGCATCTCCCTCAGAGGGGAGCAGAGGGAAGCCTCTCCTGGGACGCCACTAGCTTTGCTTCTGGGCCCTGCACTGTTGCATGAGTCTGTGTGATTCTGCCGGATTCCGCCTTGCTCTGCATTGGTCTCCCCGCCGCCTCAGCCCCGCTAGCCTCTGGAGTCCAGCCCTCCAGCAGCCACCCTTCCGCCTGGCATCTTTCTTATCCTACCTTTGGTTTCCACCCAATGACTGTTCTTTCCCTCCTGGAAGTTACCACCAGGACACCTCCAAGCCCAGCCCCTCTCTGGACATCACATCATTCCTGCTGTGGTCTGAAGGTTTCTGTCCCCTCAAAATGTATTTGTCAAATTCTCGCCCCCAAGGTGATGGTATTAGGAGGTGGGGCCTCCGGGGGGTGATGAGGCCATGGGGCCGAGCCCTCCTGGAAAGGATTGGTGCCCTTAAGAAAGAGGCCCAGAGAGCTCCCTCGCCCCTTTCACTGCAGGAGGACACACACAGCACCAGCTTCTATGGGGCACTGGCCTCGGCCGATGCTGACTCTGCTGGCACCTCGACTTCCTGGCCTCCAGGACCGTGAGAAATGAATTTCCATGGTATTTTGTTACAGAGCCCAGGCCGACTAAAACAATTCCCGTGCTCGCTGGAGAATCAGCAGGTGCATTTGCGTCTTAAAAACACCTTCAGTGGCACCAGCTTCCCCCCACGGCACCGGTTCTCGTCACTCTCCGAGGCTGCCCTCACCTTCGCAGGCCGTGAATTGTTAAGAGAATTTAGCCACAAACCAGGCAAGAATCTTTCCCACGTGTCAGCAGCCAGAAGGCTTTGTAGATAATATTCTTCTTTAAAATTCAGTAATTATGTATCTAGTTGCTACCAACCAGAGAGAAAAATATGCATATTAAAAAGTCCATAATTACATAATAAGCACTTACTGTCAATTGCATTCTGCTGCCGTGTACTCTCTGTCCCCTTTATCTTAAAAAAATTCAAAAACAATTACCACAAACACTAAAATAAATCAAGCACCAAGTGTCAGGTTAATGCAAAATTAGGGGTTTACTTTGAGCACATAGATAAGTTTTAATTCAGATGCCATCAGTTCTAACCACATGGGATCTGTGGCCCTGCCAGGATCACTGGAGAGCTGGAAGTACCTTGGAAGGGCTGAATGGCAAAGGACTCAGGAGGACACCCGAGGAATCACTTGCTTGGATTGGAAGCTGCCAGAGTGTCAGGTAATTTGGGGAAGGTGGGCAGCCTCCCTGAGACTCAGTGTCTTCACAGGGAAGATGCAGTATTTACTTCATAGAGGTTGCTGTGGAAACCATATGCCCAGATTCCACCACAAAATCAAGCAAAATAAAAGAAATGGGGTGAAAAACGGTGCCTCATCCCAGTTCTCTTATAGCTTCGTGGTCATATGACCCAGTCCTTGCCAGGGGGTGCCAGTGAAAGTGCCTGTGTGAATCCTGAGAAAGGCCCTTTCACAGGAACACGTTTGGCTGGCTCCTGCCTTTGCCCTTTCCTGGCCTCTGTGGAGAATGCGGATGCAATGCTGGAGGTGTGGCTGCCGTCTTGTTCTTTGAGGCAGCCTAGGATTGGCTGAGCAGAAAGATTTAAGGAGGCCATGTCCCTGATGGCACCCAGGAGCCAATGGGCCACCCTGGACTGCTTCCCCCTTGACCATTTTAGTAGCTGAGAAAGCAACCTGACATTGTGCTTCTCTCTTGGGAATTGCTCTTACTTGCATGTTAATGGAAGGTCGGTACCCAGTGGGTGTGCAATGTCGAAGCTCTTATTTCAAGGTAGGAATGATGTCATCTTGAGTCTTTCACATCCTAAGCCTGTGACCCAGGCGTGGGGAGAAAATCAAGTCAGGCTGCGCGTTCTGGGCTTCTTTCTGCTGAAAAGCCCTAAGGAGTCGCCCTGCTTCCACTGATGGTGGACAGAAGCCCCACTGCTGGCTCCAGGGATATCTCCTCATTCTTAGCTGAGAGCGTACCCCTTCCTCCCTGACCAAACCTTCCGAGGAGCCCACTGGCTCTGAGGTGAGATTTGCATCTGGTTTTGAAGACGCTGAGCATCAGCTCCTTTGCACGCCTTGCCTGCGTGCTTCAATGCACAGGTGGACTGGCTGCTCATCCCTCCCATCCTCGCCAGGGCTGATCTGCCCTGAGTCGGGGGTAGTGCTCAGATGGCAGCTCTTTCTGTCTTCGGCGTGTGTCCTCCCCTGGGTGTTCCTCCAGCATCATACTGTCTCTCAGAGCCCTGTTCAGGACACCAAGCGCCTCCCTGCAGCCCTCTGGGCAGCGGAATTGGGCCAGGGCTCAGCTCTGGGTACTGGAAGCTTTCACCTGTCCACCTTTCCTTCCAGCATGCTACCCCAGCATGACCGTGTTTCACGTCTGCCATGGCATAGGAACAGTGGAGGATCCCTGTTGGACTTGATCCAGGGAGCACCCTGGGGAAGGGACCTAGGAGCATAGAGGGCAGAACAACCTCCACCGGCCTTCAGCCTCTGCTCCTCCAGGTGTCCATCGAGCAGCCTTAGGCAGCAGAGCACCTGCGAGGGCTTCTCCATCTGCCCCCAGCGCTCCCCAGACACCCACAACTTTCACTATTGATTTGGACCTCAATCCAATGCCCTACTCAAACGACCTCCCCCAGGACCCTTTCTACCACAGCACCTCATGCATCCTCTTCCAGGACTTGGCTCTATTTTTTTAACGACCATCGGTCACCCCGACTTGCATTTATTGGCTCCATTTGTTCAATACCGCAGCCCACCACCAGAAGAGAAGCCACCCAAGCAGGGATCTGGTCTCTGGTCTGTCCCTGAGCTTGGAAGGTCACATGGCTCTCAGTTGTTTCCTGAAGAATGCTTGTAGAGTAAGTGGAGAAATGAATGAACGTGTGAACAAATGAATGAGTGTATAAAAAGTACTTCATCCAACTTGCTGGTCTCTCTCTACCGTCTTTCCCTGGCCCTTGCTCCCCAGCTGTCCTGGGTCTATAGCTCCCCTTTAGTTCCCTGTGCCTCTGCAGAATATTCCACTGCCCAGGGCTCCACTGTCTCCAGCCTGCCAAGGCGTGTGTGAGGCTTTCCAGTGGCTCTGGGGCTGCTGGCTCTGTACCCACTCCCAGCACACTCTGTCTCTCTCTCTGCACTGGTTGACTTTAAGCTCCGAGTCCCTCACCGTGACCAGCACTTGGCCAGGATTCCTGTTGAATGGATTGATGAGTCAATGATCAACAGATGAAAAAAATACAATAGAATTTTAATAATGGCTTAAAATCCAAGAATAGAATGATTTTTTTTTTTTAAAGAATCCCACAGCCAAGTTCTGTGTATGGGAATTGAAGCCAGGGCCAGAAAAATAACAAATAAACAAACAAATCTGTCTTTTGATTCCTCTGCCCTGGAGGCAGCTTGCTAAGTCCCTGGACCCTGCAGTCATCTGCTAATTTGTTTCCCTAAAGCTGCCAAGCACGGCCTGGCTGCAGTGACACGGCTGGGTCTGCTGTCACCTGGGTACCAGAGATGCAGGCTCCAGAAGTTCTTTCCCTCCCCAAAGCAAATGTGGTCCATGATGCTCTGACTGTGCCAGCACCAGGAGCAGAGGTTGCTTCCAGCCATGGACTTGGGCCTCTCGCTAGGGGAAAGACTGGCTCCTGGAATGCAGTGCCTGCCAGAAGAGAGTCTACACAGTTTTGCACTGGAGTGGTTGTGGCAATGATGGGTTTGGGAGAGAAACCTTGTACCACCCTGCACAGCTCTTGCCCTCAACACACCAAGGGCAGCTATCTTCCAGCCTGAAGCCTTTTCAAAGATGCAGTGTGTGTGTACGTGTGTGTGTACGTGTGTGTGTACGTGTGCGCGAGCACACACACATACCACTGCATAAAAATGAATCGTTACGGAATTCAGATCAACAAGCTCTCCCAGACCACAACTGCCCTTTTGTCTGGTCTGCAGAGCTGAGGGTTGCTATCCTGAGGAGGCCAGGACCTCAAGTGAAGATGATAAAGGAAGCGGGAGAGGAGGAGCTGGGTGTGAGAAAGCGGAGACCCGTGGGAGGGACAATGGAGTCCCAAACTGGACGGAGACCTGGAGAGCAGCGGGGAGCCCCCCATGGCCACCATCAATACAGAAATACAGACAGCAACCAGCACCTCTGTAAGTGGGATGAACAGGTCTTAAATTCCACTGGGGCCTCCACTCGGAACCCCGGGTCTGCTGGCTGGATGAGCGAGATCACAGCATGGGGACTGGGCTCCCCCAAGGGCAGTGTGCAGGTGATATTTCCATTGCTGGCCTGGTGACCACACGGAGCTTCTGCGACATGGCGCTGGGCTGGAGAGTCCAGGTGGCTACAGGGCTCAGGGGTGAGACCACACAACCCAGTTGTCTCATCTCCTTCCAAACTTAGTCTCAGATTTGGGGTCCTCCACGTCTTCACCTGGTATCAAATGCTTGTTAACGTCACAGCCACCATGCGGCAATCACGCGTGTGTTTTCATCCTCCCGATGGCCTGTGAGTCCAGCAGCGGCCCGTTTTATTTTTCATTCAGAAACCTGAGAGGTGAAAGCTGAGTCACTTTTCCAAAGTCACCGAGTGGCTCAGTTGCAGGGCCAGAACAAAAACCAGGGCTCGGGCCAGTCCCTCCACCTCTGCCTTCCAGCCAGAGTGTCCAGGGACAGCAGGAGCAGCTGTGTGGGGAAATTGCAGTGACACATGCGCAAAGCAAAACATGATCAAATTAAAGAAATGCAATTCCCAAATAAAAATTCTCCGCAAAGTAACACAAGGAGAGAAAACCAAACACCGCATGTTCTCACTCATAAGTGGGAGCCGAACAATGAGAACACTTGGACACACGGAGGGGAACATCACATACCGGGGCCTGTCGGGGGCTGGGGGGCTGGGGGGCTGGGGGAAGGAGAGCATTAGGACAAATACCTAATGTAAATGACAAGTTGATGGGTGCAACAACCAACATGGCACATGTATACCTGTGTATCCAGTCTGCAGTGGTGCACATGTACCCCAGAACTTAAAGTATAATAATAGAAAATAAATAAAGGGAAATTAAATAAGAAAAAAAAAGAAACTCCAGTACGTTAAAAGAAAATACCTTAAAATATCCTCCAGACAGCCCAGTGCCCGTGGGTTTCTCTGGTGTCCGACCTCACAGGATAATTTTTGTGCCTTACATGTCACAGAAGCAGTTATAATCAGAGACGGAGGGCGCTTCTCATCTTTGGGAGATGCTGAAAGGCCAGTGTCCACCGGCCCTGACATTTCATTTCCGCCCCCGTTTTCCTGTAAAGAGACAGAGGAAACGGGACAGCGGCCTTCGGGGTCAGCATTCGGGAGCTGCCTGGTGGCAGGCGAGGACCCGAGGCATTAGCGGCGTCTTCAGCTCCTGGGCCTGCTGAGCTCTGACCCACCCTCGGGTGGCTCAGAGGTGGCCGGTTCACTTCGAGAAGCCCAGGGAACAGATTCTTCCTGAATGAGTTTCAGAGAACAATCTGCACTCTGGCAGCTTCCCAGCAGCTGCAAGTGGAGGTGGGAGGAGACCCGAGGTCGGGAGTCTCTAAAGTGTTTGCCTTTTTCACTCTTGATGGAGAAAAGCCCAGATGTGACTGTGGTTGGACGAGGTCCTGTCACATGGCATGTGTGGGCTCTGGGCTCACATGGCTATTCCGGGGGCATCCAGGGTACTTAGGGGTCGCCCTTTAGCCTTCAGAGAGCTGCCTGGGAAGTGCTCACCTTGCGCATAGCTGTGGCCCCTCCAGCTGCAGGATTCCCCTCCTCCTGCTCCCCAATCCTTCCCACCCAGAACCCCTCTTCTCCCTCTCCTTGCCCCCTCCCATCCCCCGCCCCTCCCACTCCCAGCATCCTCTCTCCCACTCCCAGCCCCTCCCACTCCCAGCATCCTCTCTCCCACTCCCCGCCCCTCCCACTCCCAGCATCCTCTCTCCCACTCCCAGCATCCTCTCTCCCACTCCCAGCACCTCTCTCCCACCCCGCCCTCCCACTCCCAGCATCCTCTCTCCCACCCCCGGCCCCTCCCACTCCCAGCATCCTCTCTCCCAGCCCATCCTTCCTGGCTCCAGTCTTGCAGACCTTCCTCCCCCAGGCACCGCCCAACTCCCATGGCGCCCTCTTCCACAGCCTCTGAACTGGCTTCGTCTCAGTCATGTTCACAGGTCAAGATCATTCTTTTTTGTTTCGGTTTTTTGTTTTTTTTTTTTTTTGGTGAGACAAAGTCTCACTCTATCGCCAAGGCTTGAGTGCAATGGTACAATCTCAGTTCACTGCACCCTCTGCCTCCCGGGTTCAAGCGATTCTCCTGCCTCAGCCTCCAGAGTAGCTGGGATTACAGGTGTATGCCCCCACACCCGGCTAATTTTTGTATTTTTACTAGAGATGGGGTTTTTCCATGTTGGCCAGGCTATTCTCAAACTCCTGACCTCAGGGGACCCACCCGCCTCGTCCTCCCGAAGTGCTGAGATTACAGCTGTGAGCCACTATGCCTGGCCCGGTTCATCCTCTGTGATGGACAAGGTCTTTCCACCGTGTGCTGCGCCACTGGGGCAGGGCCTGCTCCGCATCTCCTCCAGGCCTGCCTCCGCGCGTCCCATCACCTCCCTGCGGCCGGCGTCCCAGCAGCCAGCGGCTCCCTTCCCACTGGCCGTGTGAGGCCAGCAGTGACAGGAGCGAAGTTTATGTCTTTTGCTTAAAAGGAATCTTAATGATTAACTTCCTGCTCTTTCTGGGTCCTGATAGCGGGACTGGGAACTGCCTGGGCTGCACTCTGCTGATTACAGGCTGCCGGGAGGAGCTGTGGGCAGGGAAAGAGCTCAACGCCCTGGCCGTCCTCTCTCAGGAGGATGCTACACAGCGTGAGGGAAACCTCTGGGGTTTTGCACAGAAGCCTGGCTGGGCTGGCCAGCTAAACTCTGCTATGCCTGTGTCCCATTCAGAAGAATATTTGGCTTCTCCCCGTTCTGTCTGTGCTGAAGCCGGCTCGGTGCCTCTCCTTGGGCATAGGTGGGAGGTGTTGCAGATTTGGACTTGCTGGCTGGTGGAGTGCACGCTTGGCATTCGATGGGCGCTGCCTGGGGTCTGGCTCTGTGCTGTCCATGAGGCCCCCCACTGGTTGCCCTCCCAAAGCTCAGTGTGACTGGATTTCAGGATGTCACGTGACTTCCTGAGTGTTTCTCTCATTACTAAGGAGCTGGGTCACCTTTTCTGTGTGTGCTGCCACGGGCCCGAGGCATTAGCGGCGTCCTCAGCTCCTGGGCCTGCTGAGCTCTGACCCACTCTCGGGTGTCTCAGAGGTGGCTGGTTCACTTCGAGAAGCCCAGGGAACAGATTCTTCCTGAATGAGTTTCGGAGAACAACCTGCACTCTGGCAGCTTCCCAGCAGCTGGAAGTGGAGGCGGGAGGAGACCCGAGGTCGGGAGTCTCCTCCAGGGACTGAGCGTTTATGGTCTGAGCCTCCTTTTCCGTGGGATTATTTCTTTATTGGTTATTTGCATGCATTCTTTCTATTTTTTGGATGTACCCTTTTGTTTGCATTGGTTGTAAATAATTGAAATTGCTTCTTTCATAGATGGGATGTGACGCATATGGTCAGAGGTGAGTCTTCCTCTGTTTCTTAAGGGGTCTATATTTCTTAACAGAAAAAAAACTATCCACTTCTTTGTTGATGACTCAAGTTTTTGTCTTATTGATACTCTTTATTTCTTGTCCTTAATATTATTTCTTATTTTTCCTGTTATGTATTTATTTTTTATACTATTCCAGTTTTCTTTGCGTCTTTTCGTGGTGTGACAGTTGTACCTCCCACGGCTGATCTCCTCTGGATACTCACGTTGTGTGTCTATAGCGCGCACACACACACACGCACACATCCACACACGCACAGGTATTTGACCTTTATTTTTTGGTATTGATTTTCGTGACGGAACAATGTCTGTGGAGTCCGTGTTGGGTCCAAGGAGAGACGGAGTGTGCCTTTATCTCCCACCTCTGCTTCACTTCTCGCTTTTGTCAAAATAGCCTGGGATTGTAGAGGCATTGTTTACGTTTCAAAAGGGCCATTCTCTAGAGTGTGGAAAATCAGTCCCTCCCAGCCAGGGCCAATAACTTTACACATAAACAGCAACGCCTCCTGCAAGAAACCCGAGGGCATTTATTTAGCTTGATCGCATACAGGTGTCTGGCAGGAGGAAGATGTATTGAATTTTTAACTGTCAGTTAAAATAGAGAGTATTGAACTTTCTATTTTGGTAGCCTTTCTGAGCAAGGTCAATACCATGTTATTTCAGTCTGGAGCTGAAGGTTGGTGACGTCTGTCACCTGTCACCTCCGAGCTGATATTCATAATCCAGGCAATTCTCTGTCTGGCAGGAGAGCACAGGAAATGCATCCCCTCGGCCTGCCTGATAGTGGGAGCCACAGGAGAGAGGCCCTGGGTGGGTGGGGAAATCAGAGAGGACACCGGACCTTACTGATGGGGTCTGTGCCCTGGTCCTGGAGCCTGCGGGACCCAGCTCTCCAACCCTGGGGCCTCGCCTGCAGCAGCGGCCTCCACCTGGTTACTGTCCAGCAGGGACACCATGACCCGCAGGCCTGTGAGGCAGGCAGGACTGTAGGGGAGGGCCAGACTTCAGGCCATCAGGAAACTCCACGCGTCTTGGTTCCCTTGTTTGTGACACGGCAACCTCGATGGGACACCCTGTACCCCAAAGATCTGGCCCTTGCCGCCCAGTCTGTACACGCCGGGCCTGGCTGCGGCTCCAGGAAGGCTTCAAGGAGGAGATGGGTCCGAGCCTGAGCCTGGCCCTGTGTGAGGACTGGGACGGAGCCCCCCAGAGTGCAGAGACCCTGAGCCCAGGAAGGCTGGCAGCCGGAGGGGGCTCCATGCTGGCCTGTGGGGATGGGTGTGAAGGTCTCACTTATATGGGGCAACCGAGGGGAGGGGACAGAATTTGCATAGACTAAAACCCAGGAAGGACGGGCAGGGATGTCATACACCGAGGTGGCATTTTAGCCTGGAGACAAGGGCTGTCACTGGAGGTCTCTGAGCTGCAGACCGAGCGATGACAGTGGTCCTGCGCCCACAGTGAGACTCTCCCAGGATCCCAAAGAAAGCGTCCTGTCTGTGAGGTCACTGCCTCCCACCCACACCCAGGAGCAAGGCCCCCAAGCAGCAGTCCCCAAAGAATGGCCTCTGTGTCACTCTTGCCCCTCGGCAAGCCTCACCCAGGAAGCCAGGAGGAGGCCTTCGAGGAAGCCGGGTGGGCAGAATGTCAGGGCTGTGGGCCCCGTCCTCGCTGCAGGCCGCCTTTTCTGTCTGACGTTAGAAGTCACCGTCCAGGCAGAACCACCCTGGAGAGGGCGTGGCGTCCACTCAGGAGCAGGGAAAGGCCGTGGGGCAGCGGGCTGTTGAGGAGGGCAGGCGTGGGGAGGAGAAGCCCCCGACCTGGCCACCCCAGGCCCCCTGTGACTCGGAAGGAGTTGAACTAGGGTCCTGCCTGCTGGGACACAGCCCTTGTGCCTGCCACAAGGTGAGTCCCATAGCTGGGTCCATGCCAGGAGCCTCCCAGGGGCCAGGGCTTCTTCCGGAAGATTGGGAGAAGTGAACCTTTTGATTAGTCATGGAGGTGTAGGGGGCTGAGTGGGGTGCTGATCTCGGCACCCCAGCGTCTGTCTGCACCATTTCCACCCAAGTTGCCCAAAGCCTCTACATCCGACGTATTCAGGCTTGACTCAGGGCCCTGCCACTGCCACTCCTAATCCTCCTGCTTCTTCCACAGCAGGTGAACATCACCCGTATTCCCCAACGCCGAAGTCCAAGTTACAAATCCTGGGACATCGAGTCCTCCCCTCCCAAGCTTGCTCTGGATCTGGAGGGGCTAGCTCTGAACTGGAGAAGGGCCTGCCACGCTCTCCCCGTCCTGTTCCTCTACGCACAGAGCATGTTTCACTCTTCAGGTGTCTTGGTCAAAAGCAGGGCCCATCTCAGGACTGTCCAGCAACCCTGAGGTCTGCAGGTCCCACCCTCCTCCAAGCTGCCAGTGTCTGCCTGGGGCCAGGTCACCACCGCCTGCCCGAGAGGGACCCAGAAGGGGGAGCTTGGCCGGGTCCACCACTCACCCTGTGGGCCTCAGAAGCTCCAGAGCCCCAAGTCAGACAGTCTCCTGGGAGCGTGCTGAACCGGGGTTTGTAATTGTTTTTTTGTTTGTTTTGTTTTTTGTTTTTTTTCAGATGGAGTCTCGCTCTGTCTCCCAGGCTGGAGTACAGTGGCGTGATCTCAGCTCACTACAACCTCTGCCTCCCGGGTTCAGGCGATTCTCCTGCCTCAGCCTCCCGAGTAGCTGGGACTACAGGTGCATGTCACCACGCCCAGCTAAGTTTTGTATTTTTAGTAGAGACGGGGTTTCATCATGTTGGCCAGGATGGTCTCGATCTCTTGACCTCGTGATCTGCCTGCCTCTGCCTCCCAAAGTGCTGAGATTACAGGCATGAGCCACCACACCAGGCCGTACTTGTTTTCATTGTGACTTAAATTAAACTTCAAGCTCTTAATCCCATGGTCCCTGTAACAGGATGTCTGTGGCAAGTATGCTGCCCTCTGCCCCCTACAAACTCTAGAGCACCGTGAGGCCTCCACCTGCTTCCACGTGAGAGGAGCCGCAGGTGGAGGAGGCCAGCTGAGAAATGTCCCATTTTAGGATTTTATGCACCTTTTGAAGTTAAGTACAGAATTGAGCGGAAATGACACCCAGACGGGGAAGC